CCTCTGGGTCCTGCCCCGGGCACAGGCGTCTCTACGTCGGTCGGTCCTCGGGACCCCAGGCCCACTGGGGCTCCGTCTCTTACATCCCTAGGCCCAAGGGCAGGCGGGATGGTGCCTCTCGTCTGCCTGCAGCGAGGGCGGCTCTCTCCGTGGGGCGCTCGGTACCTGCTCTGTCCCGGCTCCTCATCGCTCGGCTCCTCGATCACGTAGGGATCCTCCTCCTCCTGCAGCCGGCTCATGGCGACACCCGGTCGGCTCCAGCCGCCCCCCCTCTGCTACGATCCGACCGGCGCGGCAGCGACCGCTGTCCCCAGGCCCGGTCCGCCCCGAAACCTGCCCGCTTCCGCTTCCGCTCCAGCCGAGCCCAGCTCCTGGCTTCCCGGGGGCCCTGCAACCGCGACCTCCCTGAGGCCCTCACCCCCGAGGGCCAAAGAGGCCGCCTGCTTTCTGATCGCTTTACTCGAGCATCACCCCAGCAGAGCCAGTAGCGGCCTAGGCCACGGAGCGAAGGGGCAAGGCCCGTGCCAGCGCGTGCAACAAACTGGCGTTCAAACCAGCGCGTCAAGAGGCTGGTGTCTGCGCTGGAATCACAGCTCCCCCCTTCCTCGCCCCCCCCCCCCGCCGAGCAAAACTGCCCTGGCCTCTGCAGTCCGGCCAGCTTCACCTCGCCCAGCCACATAGCTACCGCCTCTTGCAGGAATGAATTCACAAAGCCATCTGTCAACGTAGAAAGTTTACGTGTCCTATTTTATCTTTTTTTAAAACAGTATATTGTGCTCCTTTTATCATTTCGTCTGATTTTAGATTATGAACTCCTCAGCATACAGGGGAAAATGAGCTCTAAAATGAAAAGTGTATTACAGACACAACTGAAAAATAATTACAGGCATCAGTGGCCAGTGGAAATGTTGATTTTCAAACTTGTAAGAAACAATCCAATGAAAAACAAGCTGCAGTTTTAGCATCAGTTCCTCGGTAAGGGCTTATCTACATTTGGTATTTCTACTTGGGTAGCTTACATATCTGTGCAAGCCCCTGCATATCTGGCTGCATCAGAGTAAAGGAACGCTTCTACTGTGCATTTTATCCATATTTGAAACCATATCTGTCATGTTTCAGAGAGGTAGCTGTGTTAGTCTGATTCAGCAAAAACAAGGAGACTGGAGGCACCTTAAAGACTAACAATTTTATTATGGCATAGTTAGACTAATAGTTTAAAGTGCCACTGGACTTGTTTTAACTTCCATCATGAAACCCAAAAAATGGTGTATCAGTATGAGTATCGGTAAGAGATGTAATTATTGGCATATTAACTCACTTCTGACTCTCCGATATAAAGCCCCCTTGATCCAAACCCCTGCTGCTCTGCCAGTTGTCCAGAAAGCAACACATGCAGCAGTTCCAAGACCAGATGTGGTTAATGAAGCAAAATATAGACCCTTTACCTAGTGTTCTTCCAGAGCTGTGACTTATGTAATTCCAGGACTCATAGTTCAAATCAGCATTTTGCCCAGAGCTGTGACTCTGTTATGTAATTCCAGAGGACTCATAGTTCAAATCAGCATTTTGCTTTCTCTCCATACTAAGTAAAGACTAAGGATTCAAGTTTAGTAAGCCCAACATTTGGTCCCCAGGAATCTGACTCTTCTGTTGTTCCAACCTCTCCTCTCCCTGTCCAAATGTTTTGTTTTGCTTTTTATTTTGAAATGAGCTTTTTGTATGTGACCAAAGGGCAAAATACAACACTGTCTTTGACATGCTTTTGCCACTCCTCTTTAAAAATTATTTTCCTATAGAATGGTAAGCAAGTCTAAATGTCTAAGTGAACTGGAAGGGAAGTCTAGTTTCAGTAGATAAGCAAGCTAATAAACCTGCAAATTTGAGTGAGAAGAGATACTGGAGCAGTATAGCTTTTTAACTATTTGCTTTAGAGCATAGGTGCAGAAAATGCTGATCAAATTAAACAGATTTACTATAAATGTCTATTAAATGTTAATATAGACGATACAATGTCTGCATAATTTTAGAAAAAAATCACTGATTTCACAGTTTATTTTACAACAATTGGAATTAGTCTACAAGTTAAGGCAAACATACGAATGCATTTGCTTTTCCTTTTAAATCATAATTATAAAGATTACATAAAGTTTTCCAAAATTTCTAAGAAATGTTCATTAAATTGGAAAATCATATTAAGATGCTTGATACCAGGACATGGAAAAACTAAGACAATGCATACAATGCTTTATAATAACAATATTCAAACATCTAATGGCAATATTTAATCCATTTGAACAATTCATTCAAATGGGCAATTTCAGAAATTACTTACAAAGGTAAAGAAAGATTGGTGGCCATACCAAAATACTATTCATAACAAGAACATAATTATATTGTCTACTTTCACAAAGAAACAGGACATTTGATTTCTGAACAATGAAAGCATACAATGATTAAATAAATGTGTGTGTGAATACATGTGCATAAATGAGTATGCTGTTGCTTCATATAGTCCAGAATTGTTTTCAGGAGGCTTCAGAGCAGGAGCTTATTTATGCATACTTTGCCGGAATTGTTTTCAGGAGGCTTCACTTTTTCAGAGCAGGAGCTTATTTATGCATACTTTGCCAAGTGATTTCTCCGGTGAGATGTAAATTCATATTAGAAGTCATGAAAACAAAATCCAGAAGGCAGCCCTTGTAAGTGGAAGGACAGAGTGTTCTATGTGTCTCCATTTAATACTGCCAGGCAGCTCTGCAGCAACTGCAAGTTACCCTATAGAAATAAAGAGAAAATGATAGCCATGTTTTCCTATTAGATATAAATACTTTTAAATGAAGATAAATTATTTATTAAGCAGCATGAATATCTATAAAACATTAGAATACTTTTCTTTAAGCAGTTTTCATCTTACAAAGAGATCTGTTGAACATAGCAAGCCAATCTCAAGGAACTGTTAAATAGAAAATGAGAACTAGTATGCTTTCTGAATGTGATCAGTTTAAATAACTTCTCCACTATATCTCATATCCTTCCCATACATACCTTAACAGAAGTCTCTGATGCAAAACAAGTTCACCATAGAAGGCTGTTATCTCCTTCTTTTAGAGTTGAATACTCAGTTGTAGAAAGATGGTTGAGATTTGTGAAGAAAATATCTCAGGTATTCCTCACACCAAATTGACAGTAATACTATTGTCAGATTATTCCCATAACATAATTATTCACATAATCCATTGTATATCAATAAAAATAAATTATACAAGAATATATATATATATATATATCTTGGAGCAATGCAGGAGAACCAGGATCAATTAAATGCCCTAAACCAATGATGTAAAGGTAGTCCTATTGTGAAATATCAAAAAAGTGACACCTTATTCCATAGACATGTTCTATGTGCACTATCACTTTGCTGACGGTAGTGACAAAATTAAAAAAAAACTTAACTGCAGAGCCAAAGGGTCTACAAGATAGTGGCTATCAGAACAGTTAGCCAAGCTCCAACTTGGCCAAATCTATGCTTAGTTGTACAGATATAAATAAAAACAATTTGGCATGCAAATCATTACTAATTTGAAACAAAAAACTTGTCCTTCAGATTTCAAACTAAATTTCCAGGGCTGGCAGGTAGACAAAGATATTTACTGACAAATTAATCAACTATCATCTGGAACTCAGCTAACTATAGAACCCAACAATGCCATTATAAAGAATGAAAGTTAATACACACTGTGCTGGCTACAATATAATTTCTATCAATTTCAAACATCTGGCTGTGTTCCAGAGGTGTAAATGGTTAACCTCACCCTTAACTGGTGTGGCTTACCAGTTCCGATTAGCCAGTGAGGGCTGGAGCAGGTCCCCACTAGGGATGTTAGGAAGTGAGTAAACAGTAATTCTATCAACTACCCAATAATTCGATAAGGGAGTAAAGCATCCAGGAGTTATCCCCCGCTGAGGCTTTACAGTTTAAATGTACTAAGAACTGGGCAGGCAGGCTCATGCTATATTTAAACGGCAGAGCTGCAGCAAGGGTAGCTCTTGGACTTGGCACGAGTGGGGACTGAGCCAGGTTTGCTCATTCCTGGCTGGCACCAGGTCCAGTAGCCCCCTGGCCATGGGGGAGCTAGGACCTCCCCATGCCCAGGAGCAGCTCCATGGGATGTGGAGCAGCCTCTGTAGGTGGCGAGCCTGGGCCTGCTGATACGGAGGCAGCGGAGGGATGGGGTGAGAAAATATGCTACTAGCTGAGTAGTTGACTACGTCTAAGCCTAAGATAATATTGGGTAATCAACTACTCAACTACTCTTCATATGGGAATGAGTCCCATATGAAGAGAGATTAAAAAGACTTGGACTGTTCAGCTTCGAAAAGAGGAGACTAAGGAAGGAAATGATAGAGATCCATAAAATCATGACTAATGTGGAAAAAAATTAAGAAAAAGTTATTTACTTATTCCCATAATATAAGAATTAGGGGTCACCAAATGAAATTAATAGGCAGCAGGTTTACAACAAACAAAAGGAAGTTTTTCTTCACTTAGCACAGTGTCAACCTGTGGAACTCAACAGGGTTCAAAAAAGACCTAGATAGATTCATGGAGATTAGGTGCATCAAAGGCTATTAACCAGGATGGGAAGAAATGGATGACAGGAAAGGGATCACGTGATGATTACCTGTTGCGTTCACTCTCTCTGGGGCATCTGGCATTGGCCCGTCAGCAGACAGGATACTGAGCTAGATGGACCTTTACTCTGACCTAGTATGGCCGTTCTTATGTTCTTATGCTGGCAGACTAGGCAAAATGTGTGGCTGTGTTTAGACTGCATCCCTTTTCCATAAAAGGGACGCAAATTAGACGTATCACAATTGCAAATGAAGCGGGGATTTAAATCTCCCCCGCTTCATTAGCATAAAAATGGCTGTTCCGTAAAAGGGATGCAAATTAGATGTATTACAATTGCTCATGAAGCGGGGATTTAAATCTCCCCCGCTTCATTAGCTTAAAAATGGCTGCTGCTTTTTTCGGCACGGAGCTTTGCCGGAAAAAAGCGCCAGTCTAGACGCGGATCTTTCAGAAAATAAAGCTTTTTCCGAAAGATCCCTTATCCCTCAGAAAAGGCTTTATTTTCCGAAAGATCTGCGTCTAGACTGGCGCTTTTTTCCGGCAAAGCTCCGTGCCGAAAAAAGCAGCAGCCATTTTTAAGCTAATGAAGCGGGGGAGATTTAAATCCCCGCTTCATGAGCAATTGTAATACATCTAATTTGCATCCCTTTTACGGAAAAGGGATGCAGTCTAGACGAAGCCTGTGTGTATTGTACATGGATGGCAATACATGAGATTGTGATCTTGGGCTCTGTAGCAAGAGGATCTAGTTGCAAATCTGGTACAGGTTGAACTTCTCTAATCAGTCACCCTGGGACCTGGATGGTGCTGAACCAGAGACTGTGTCAAATCACAGGAGGTCAATATTGTCTAGCATCATTAGCAACACTTCCACTGCTTCCTGGGCTCTTAGATATTTAGGAGTAAATTCGAACTACACAACAGCGCAGAACATCAAGAGCCAGAACAGGTAGCTGT